GGCTGTAATTCTGTACTGGTCTCTGGGCCTGGGGACACGCAGAGTCATTATGATGCGCACTGAACGCCAACTTCCAGAGTTTTGCGCAGAAATAGACTGTAAGACTGCCATAACAATAATGGGGAAATTCCCCATTCCGAGGGACACATGCAGGCCACACAATCCAGGGGGGGGGCATTTTGGTACCTCTCCACCCCTGGCTCTTCGCAGTTGGGGTGTTGAACCACGACTTGCATCTCCACTGACCGTCCGCTGCTTTCCCACGATCCCCGATTTATGTCCCTGCCAGCGATTACCCAGAATGCCCCTGTTTCTTCCCCAGAAAGTTTCCCGTCGCCCGTGCCTCTAATCACTGTTGGATGAGGATCAGTCGGGAGCTCCCCTCTCTGCCAAATGCCGATGTTCCAGAATATTCCCCCCTGCACAGGTGTCACACCACCTGCAGGAAAGGCCCAGTTTCAATGAGGCGCCTTCCCTTATGCGGAAGCGAGCCGCCGATCACCCTGCTGACAGACACGCGCCTCTGCGGCCTGCGAGGACCACTGGCTCCCTCCGGATAGGGCTGCTTCCTGTCTGTGTGGCTCAGGAGGTTAGGCCTCTGTGCATATCATCGGAAGGTTGTTGGTTCGACACTGAACCTTGCTTGCATTGGGCCCTTGAGCAAAGCCCTTAACCGCCTAAAAAACGCTCCAGGGTCACTGTGTAAATTCTCAGACCCCCACCTTTGTGTGTGTCTTTAAAAAGGAGAGTTAAGTGTAAGAGAACACATTCCAATTTAGCTGATCTCATTCTCGCACAAAAGGCAAATAAAGCTTCATTTCGTCTGTGCCTTCATCAGGGCTAAAAAACGGGTGAATGCAACATCCCTGACTGGAATCAGAGGTAATAGACGCCGGGGGAAGCCGTAAAGCACCGCGACTGTCGATTCAGGCCTTTAAAACTTAAACGAAAGCTTTCCATGCCATTAATTTTGGAAATTGGGATGAGATTTGGCAATTTTAATGCCGTTATTAAAATTTCAAGTGACCAACATTTGCTTTGTGGACGATTAAGCAAAACAGCAGCTAGAGTGGCCAGAACCTGGGAGTGTCCGCATCCAGCCAGAGTCCGACTCGCGGTTCCATCCCTCTGCTACCTCAAACATAAAGTCCAGGCAGTTAATAACTTAATAAATTATCGTCATGGAAACAGGCACCATTTAGCAATAGCGGCTCTTTTTTTTTTAAATGTCGATTTCCATATTTATTGAAAAAAAAAGATGAACATTAGATGAACCGAATAAAGGAGGCAGCGAGGTCCGATCGCCGTGCCGAGTTTCAGCAGGCTTGCGTAATGCGTACGATGGTTTCAGAACCGTGCCGGTAATTAAGGAGGGAACCAATCGGGGCGGAGCAGGTGCAGCTGGGTGCCTTCCCGCGAGGTCGGAGCCGTCGCGCCTTGGGCTCTCCCCCCCCCTGCTGGCAGAAGTGGGCCGGCTGGCATCCGCGTGTCGGCGGGATTGGCGGGTCTCACAGAGCCCACGCAGATGGCCAGCGGGCTGACCACGCCCACGTCCCCCCCCTCGGGAAGTGGGTGCCTCTCAGTCTCCTTGAACGAATCCCGCTCCCCATGTAAACCTCCGCTCCAAAAACAGGGGAAGGCCCTGCGACCTACGATTCCGCCCCCACGCATGCTCCGCCCCCGCGCATGCTCCGCACCCGCGCATGCTCCGCACCCGTGAAATCGTGAGGGCAAAACCTGCGACGCCGCACCTGAAGGCTGCAGATGGTCGACGCAGCAGCAGCGGCGTATGGAGACAGCGAGAGCCTGGCGACAGTCACCAGCATGTGGGACACCGTCAACATGGGATGGCCCCCGCCCCCCCGCCCCACAAAAGAATGAACCACCAAACACACACATCATGTTTTACAATTATTTATTTATACATTTTAAATTCATAGTTCAAATATATTTTTTCCTCTAAAATATTTCATTATGTGATATAGAGTATACACCATCCAGGACGATTGCGACATCCTCCGCAGGAACGTGTCACCTCAGGGGGGTTGGGGGGGCGGGGCTGCAGTGTGTGTGCGCAGGGGTGTACATCTAGCTGCACACGGGGGATTTGGAGGATGCCCACGATGTGGGAAGGGGGGGGCATCTCAGGGGTCTGTGCATGTCTTGAGTGTGTGTGCCAGCTGGTTTAAACAGGTTCTGATCCGACGGGTTGTCCAAACCTTCGGGACAGAGTCTTCCAACCAAACAGTGCCACGCGTGTCATGTACGGTTAGGCGTAAAACATGCCGGGTGACGCGCAGGACTCCGACAGCGTGATTCTGGCATTCTGGAACGTCACACTCGGGTAGATCTGGACTGCTGGGGCGTGTCTGCCCCCCCTCCCGATCTTGCCGGGCTCGCCGAACGAGAGAGACCAGCCATCTGCGCTCGGAACAGGTTCTCCGGGGAACGCCGTCTGTGTCTGTGAGGAAACTGGGTGCCACGGCGACGACGGCGCGTTAAGCGGACGGCCCCCATCGGAGGCGTGGGGATTCCTGGTTAAAGTGCAGGGAAAAGGCCACGGAATTAGGTCTGACGCGAGCTCACGACTACTAAAGTGTAAAACGTGCCGATTGTGAGCCGAGATCTCGGCAGATGCGCCAACACACAAGAGGATTCGAGCTTGTTTGGTTTCCAGGAGAAATTATACTTATAAATTCTCACTTCCGGGGCCACATTGCTGATTTCGGTGGGCAACTTTCACCCAGGATTATAATGATATTTTAACATGATTATAGCCTAACATTAAAGAAGAATAAGGAAGCATAATTAATTATGCATGTTGATATTAAGGAATGGAAAGATTAATATTAAGCTAACAGTGATATTAATATTAAGCTAACAGCGCAGAGCAGTGCTTCTCGGGTGAGAACTCCGGGGTATGCATTGCTAATTCCCAGTTCATTCTCCCAGCATCTGCACCCTCGGCAGGGGGGGAGGGGGGTCACAGTCCACACCCATTATTCAAAAGTGCTTGTCTCGTCCCCTTACCCCGGAGGGGCCTGGAGTGTCACATGATACACATGGGCCACATGCCTTCTCCCCCCCCCCCCTCCCCATATCCAGGGGAGACAAGCATCTGCTTTGAAGCTAAAGACGTCAGCGATCTTGGTGGTCGACTCAGGAGGACACAGATCACAAAGCGCTCGAGACAGTGCAGGCTTTGATATTTTACCGAGGAGGTGAGGCTGAGGTCACTTCCTGTCGGCTTCCTGGCGGCATCGCACGACTGAGCCGAGCGGAATACGGATGTCCGCGGCCCGGCCAGGCGCTTCGCTCTTCCGAGATGCCAGTGAGAAAAACCTGCCGCTGCCCTGTGACTGACTCCGCCCACTGCTCCAGGTCACATGGGGGTGATGCGGGGAAGTCAAAGAGGAAGCACATGCGCGTACGCTGCCGCAAAGGACTCGTCACGTGACCGTGGGAAAGCAGACATACAGGCGATGAGTGACCTATGACCTATGGAGGCAGATCCGAGACGGGACGGCCGATTAACAACCCGCCTGATGCAGGGATCGAGATTAATAATGGGGGATGAAAAACACAATAACGAACAAGCTACCGTCAGCTTCTCTGGATATGTATCGGTTAAATAAATGCTTTTTACAAGCGAGGACAATTAAACTGCTCCAGACGACCATCTACATGTATTAAAGTCCTTATATGCGATATGTAATTTAATAGCTATATTACCAGGTAGGTTTAAAACACATACTTATCACGCCGCAGACACCAAGAAGCGTGAGCTGCATGAACCATCTGACTGACTTATGAAGATGCCGACTCAGAAAATCAACCATTCCTTCCCCAGTGTACGGTGCATGTCCGTAAAATACCTATGTGTGGTATATTATGCTATATAATGGTACAAAAGCTAGTGTATCTACTATATGCTTGTCGATAAGATGATTCGTTAAAAAGAATTATGGGTAATCATCGGCCCTGTCGGAGGTGTTCCTGGTCTTCTGCGATTCGAGCCCATTTGTGCACACGGCGGCGAGACGACCCCTCCCACGCTCACAGGAACGTGAGAAAGAGATGGTCCACACGTGACACCGCGTTTAAGGATAGCACAGGTGATGTATATCTACTGCATAAGAAACGACTCAGACTTTTCCGGAATGAGACAATATATCCCTCCGTTTATGGCCTACAAATATGTACAGATAACTGAGGTGTGGAGAATGTTCAGTGAGACTCTCAGGCGACCCGTTTATGTGACGCGTCGTTGCTGATATGCTTCGGAGACATTACAGGGCTCTTCCCAGCAATGGCACTTGGGACATTCTGTTGGACCAGGATGTCACCAAGGTTCAGTGTTGACGCCTGGGGCAGGCGGGGAGCCACAGGAAGTCCAAAGCGCAGCCCTTGGGTCTCCTGGTGGAACGGCAGGGGATGGCAGGGGCCAAGCGGCGAAGGGGGGGGGGGGGAGAAGAATCCGCGTCTTGGGCCTTGTGGGTGAGAGTTGCCCCCTCTCGCCCCCCTGGTTGTCCCCCATCTGCCCACGGCCCATTTACCCCCAAAAAAACAACACGCACCAGGTTTCCAGGCCAAAGGACGAAATACTGCAAGGTAAATAGGACAAAAAGTACCACAGAAAGAAAAAAGTATAAATTTGTGCTTATTCTGGTTCACTTTCGTGTTGCTGATTTTGTCCAGTTCATGTCTATCAGTGTCTATATCCTTATATTTTATATATAGATTAACGTATATTTACAATCCCATTGCGGAAACGCTATGCCAGACAGGAAGGGTCTCTGATGCTTCCCTCGCTCCTTCATCTTGTCCTGTTTGCTTTTTCCATCCCAATCTGACAGCTGCTTGCTGTCTACCTCGAAGGGGAGGGGGGTCCTTAGTCACAACGCCCCCCCCCCCCCCCCTTTGTCCTCTGGTCCTTCATCTTTGGTAAGATTGTTCGACACTTTGGTGTCTTGGGTGGGGGACAGGGGGCACGGGGGGAGGGGGGGGCGCCCCCATGGGGAATGTCCAGGAAAAGGTGGAGAGGGGGTGGGATGAAGATGGAACTGATGAAGGAAAGGAGAGAGGAATTAAGTGATAACGTTTTTTCTTTTTCCATCTTTTTCGACGACTAACGGCGTGGAAGAAGCCAGGGGCCAGTGAGGATGAGGAGGGCGCATGGGCTTCAGCGCAGAGGGCAATGGGGCTGCAATGGGTCAGGATGATGGAAGAGAGTGGAGGGGTAGGACCGAGAGGAGGGGGCGTGGGGCAACAGGATGTCAGAGAATTGAAAGGGAAACAGAGCAGGCGAGGCACCGGGTGTGCCGGGGGGGTGGGGTGGTGGTGGCAATCTTGGTCAACAGGGGCGCTGTTGTGCTCATCATCTGTAGAGCAGCAGGTAGGCAGAGAGTGTGCAGCCCAGCAGCTGCGCTGGTGACAGTGGCCATCGGTGTGAGGCTCCACCCAGCAGGACGGCTGGAACGGGAAAGAGGAACGAAGGTCAGGGAAGAACCGCAGCAAACGCAGGGAACGCGCCAACTATGCCCACTGAACTGCGACGCTGCGGTCTTCTCTGAATAAAAACGCCAAATGAAAGCAAAAAAAAAAAAAAGAATCTGTCACATTTCTTGCTTTAGAGCTGTTAAAATAATCAGAACCGATCACACGTGTTACGAAAATATATTTACATTGTTGTCGAGAGAACAAAGAGGAACGAAAGGCTTCGGAACAAATTAGCAATTAAAATGATATCACTGCGAAATCACTGCTGTCGCTTACACCGCGGGTCTCGGAGTGCCGCGGGGGCGCTGAGGCATTGCCGTTCGGGGTTAGGCAGCGTGGGGGCGCCCGCTGTGTTTGGGGGGCGGGGCGTTCCCAGCGGCCACCGCCCTGCCTGCTGTGTGTCACGCACTTCGCATTAGGAGTGCGTGCTGCCTGCAGACCAGTTTAATAAATAAAGGACAGATATTGTATCTGAGAGATCAATAGGCATTTATATCAAGGTTTTTTTCCCTTATGGCAGAAAATCAATGTATTCATAATAAAGCGTTTTTTCCCTTCCTTTTTAATAAAAACAAGTTAAGTGACTGGCCCCTCCCTCACCGCAGCTCTCTCAAGGGCCTTTGAAGGAGGCGGGAACTCGGAGGCAGTGGGGGGGCGGACCTTCTACACGGGAGGCTGCCAAGCGAACCGGGGGACGCCGCTGAACAGCGGGACGAGGGGCCAGATGGTCCGGATCCGGTACCCGTGAGTTAATCAAAGCCACAGGTGACATGGTCCAAAGCTGGCGAACCCGCAGCCTTTGGATGACCCAGGGTGCGGAAATGCATTTTCACAGGGGATTAACCCTTCGAGTCCACCAGGCTTCACCCCCCCGCTTCCCGCTCCCTCCCCAACCTGTCCCTGGCTCACATCCTCTCCAGCTCGAGCCTGAAGATAAAATGCCGCTTGGCTGCCATCTTTTACGGTGGGGGGGCCCACAGCTCGCAGGATGAGCCCCAGGTCCAGGCCTGTCCCTGTTACCTGACAGATGGGTGCAAGAAACAGGCTCTGGTGGCAATGGGGGGGGGGAGTTTACAGACTGGGATGAGAACAGGATGTGCAAATAGGGCCCAGTTGGGGGGGGAAAGCGGGGAGACACTTGTCTGTACGGCCCCCGCAGGTGAACCCCCGGAAGAATGTTGTGGAGGGAGGGGGGCAAGAGGAGAACCAACAGAAATCCCAACCAAGTTGGGAGAAGAGTTGGGAATGCCAGGGAGAGGTAGCTGGAAACGGGGGGGCTGTGTGTCTCCTGGGTCCTGTAGCTGGGGGGGTCCAGATCTGCGTCCTTCTAAGCCCCTATAACAGAATCCTTACATGTGAGGATTCAGTTACACTTTGGACCGACAAACCACTACTGTAAAAATCTGTATTTTATTTTGGGAACAGGCTGCATTTGATCACATTTTTTCTTCAATCTATGATATTACCCTATAAGTGATGGAAATGACTCATATCAATATTAATACAGTAAATGGATGTAAAATGTTTAACAGCTGAACAGCGCCGACCCCGGCCGGGATAAGTGATCCTGGGAGATGGCTGGGGGGGTATTTCATTTAGCACCTCGTTCAGATGGACGTCATACAGATGTCAAATAAGCCGGTGACTCACCCCCTCCCCCCCAATCCGAGGAAAAGGGACAGTCACGTGACCAGGGATGAGGGCACGTGCGGACCAGGTCACATGACCGACGGGCCCTGCGAGGGGCGTCAGAGCCAGATCGCAAATTAGCATTCAGTGCCAGGACCCGGGGGGGGGCAAGGTTAATAACATTAATGATTCAAATGTGTCTTTCTGCTCCAGACGCGTACCAGTGCCCTTCATGAGTGCTCTCCCACACTCGCCAGCGAGCCGCTGTCACTGCCTTACCGCTGATGTAATGGTTGTATAACGATTCACTTGCAAACGCATCCTGGGCCCTCAGGGGCCCTCAGGCTGAGGATGAAGCCCACTGGGGGGGGGGGGCGAACGTGGGCCGTGACACCCCATTGAAGCCTTTGCACTGCAATAATGAACATCGGGTCCAAACTCATATAGTTTGCATTATTTTTGTTACAGATCCAATCTAATTATCTTCTGGTAGAAGCCTTTTGGGGCAGCATGTGGCTCAGTGGGCTAAGCTTCACTGCCCGTGATCAGAAGGTTGTTGGTTTGCGCCCGGCCTCAGCAGAAGAGTCATGCCTGTGGGCCCATGAGCAAGGCTCTTAACGTGTCTTATACGTGTCTGCATGTCATGGAGAGCAAGATGAGGTAGGAAAGAAGAGAATTTTCCCACGGGGATCAATAGAGTGTCATTATTATTATTATTATTGACAAATACATCTGAAATAACACTGAATTCCATGTGTTTACTACCGGGGAGCAGAGATATAGAACCTAAACCAGCCCTGTCCTGGGTTCGAGGGTCGGGTGACTCTGGGGTCACAGTTAAGCTCTTAATCTGCCCTCTTCGCAGCAGCCATTACTCACATTTTTACCATCCTTACTACCCTACAATGAAGACCTCGGCCACCACAGGCTGACTGCCATCTGTGCAGCAACATCCAGGGAAGACCAGGAATACAGGGGCAAAGTTTTTGATCCCCAGCCAGCGAAAATAAACCACCACAGTCGCGATTCAACCGCAAAACGGAACCAGGTCGGGCTTGTCTCTGTTTTACCGAATGCCCCCTTTTCTAGAATGAAAAAGTGATTTCTATTTTACTCGACTGCTGACCTTATGAAGGGTTCATAACTTTCAGACAGATCAGACTGTTTGCACGAGTTATTTTTTGTACAGCTATTTGGAGCACTGTTAGTTGGCCACATATTTTTTTTTAGCGCAAACATAATACGGCTTCTGCCCGGAAGATTCTATTGTCGTTGTGGCTTTTGAACATGATCACTGTTTACGGAGACTGGCCCTTGACATTTGGGCTTGCTGACCATGGATACAGACGTTAAAACACACACACACACACACACACACACACGTCGGGTATACCTATCCTTATGGGGCCCGCTCATTCACTTCCATGGAAAAATGCTAATGCTAACTATGACAACCTTAACCCCCACCCAGCCCTAACCATGACCATAAATAACCAAGCAAAATACAAGACTTTCTGCATTTTTAGTTTTTTCATAGCAGTCAGTTTTTCCTTATGGGGGCCAGGAAAACAGTCCCCATAAGGGGAAAAAAGACAGATATTTATCACGTTATAGGGACATTGTGCCCCCATAAGGATAGGTATACCCACACACACACACACACACACACTCTCTGCGGAAAATTTCCTTTGTGTTAAGACTCGCATGGCAAGCCGGTCTGTCTTAACAACAGAACCCATTACATCCTCAGACAGAGTACAGCCCCCCTCTCATGCCGCAGCCCGACACCCCACCGAGTGAGTCTGTTTGTCCCTGTGGCTGGCAGGGGGAGAGCAGTGTCCGTACGCTGTGCCTGGTGATGCCCACGTGCCATTATGGGCTGTAAGGGACGTCGCTCCCCATCTACCAGCCCGTGTGACCTGCTGTCGCTTTCATTTCAGCGTGTGATGTGCCCGTGTGAGTCTGTGTGTGTGCGCAGCATTTGCTGTGCCCGTGTGAGTCTGTGTGTGTGCGCAGCATTTGCTGTGCCCGTGTGAGTCTGTGTGTGTGCGCAGCATTTGCTGTGCCCGGGTCTCCGTCGTTGTCGCAATACCTGCATCCCTGCCTCTAATTACCCATCGGTCCCGTTTATCTCGATGTGCATAAAGCGAGTCCCCCCCCCTCCCTAGGCGAGTGCCCCCCCCCCGTTTATGCCTGCATAAATAATGCAAAGTGTACTTTTTTGTATATCAGATGGGATGTACCAAAAGGTAATGGCCTGCTCTTAATATTTCATAATCTGTCTTTTTTCATTATGTTTTTATTTTGTGGTTGTCATGGACACCGGCTCCTGAAAGTAAACTGGGTGCAATCCGATTGGCTAATGAAGACCACACAATGCGCCGGGCGTCTGTCTGTCCACGTTCTAATCAGTGCCTGTGAGCAAACGCACCCCCACCGGGTGCCTCCGAGATTTCACCTAGCCCTCTTTCCTTTCCCTTGAGGCTAAGAGCTGCAAAGACATGCAGGGAGGTGTGGAAGTTCAAACGCATTCCTCCCACAATGCATCAGGAGAGAAGCTATTTTTCAAATGGCATCCTCTAGTGGGCAGTGTGCAGCCAGATCCACGGTCTTGCAGGCTCCTTGGATCATACCTTGTTCTCTTTATAGGGGGCCCTCCTGTGTGACAGCGCCTCCCTCTGGAGAGGAGGGACACAGCTGATAGAGAGGCCAGGCTGTAGCTCTGTGTTTAGCTCCAGGTACCCCGTCCTCCCCGCTGCTCTCTCCTTTGCGCCCATCGCCTCCCTCCCACATGGACTGCGGAGAGTCATAGGGCAGGAAGCTCTGTACCTGTGTTAGAGACGGTGTTGTCCTGTTTGCACTTCCCCGTGGTGATGGACACGTCATCAATAGCGATGTCCCCTTCATAGCCGGTGCCCCGCACCCCCTCAAACACCACCTGCAGAGAAACCACAAAAAAAAAAATCACCATTCCAGAATTTTATGGTTGATCGTTTTTATAGTCGTTCTGTTTTGCTGGCAGACAGATAGCGTGAACTGACTTTAGCTAACCACACGGACCTGAGAGTCAATGCCTGCATGTTTTTCCTACACATTTTCCAGTGGGGAGATGGGGGTCATTATGTATCAGGCTAATTTGTCAATAGTCCCCATGAGAGTCATATGAACCACCTGAAACAGCAACATTGGTGCAGTAAATCCATAGCCAGGGGTTTACGGCCACATCTACCAGAAGGGGAGGGGTGGAGTCAGTGGGCTGGTGGGTGTGGCTTTTCCCTGTGCAGCTCCCGTTTTGATTGACAAGTTAATTACCCTGGCAACGGGGGCCGAAGCCCCATCCCACAGAGCTAATGAAATTCGAGCCCGCCGCTGCTCCCTGTGCATCCCTCCTCAGATGCCTGGTTTATACTCTCTTAATTGAAACATGGTGGTAGGAAAACATGAGGGGGTGGGGGGTGCACACCGCCTGCCTGACACAATCTGGCTGAGCTGGGGTACTCCTCCCAGACTACGCTAACCGGCTGGCCCACACGGGGGTTTATAAACAAGCTGTAAACTGGACGGGGAGCCGGGGGCCAGCTTAGTGCCGTGCCACTGTGGCGCTGAATCCATGAGGGCAGAACTGAAGCCACGCGGTAAATATCCAAGCGGGTAGACGGGCCGTCGCTAATAGAAACACAGTGAGGCGTCCCGGAAGATGCCTGAGGTGGTGAGAGAAAGGCAGGCCCCTTCAGAGCCGCCCCTTATCTTTCCACGTGGTTTAGCTTTAGCGCTGTGCTGCTCAGCTGTCTGGCTAAGCACGTTAGCCGCAGCTTAAGTAGTGTACAGAGGTTTCACTCAAACCTGTGGCCGTTGGAGCACATTGGACCCAGACGCCGAAGGACAAATACAGAAACAGGCTGAAGCCGGGTTTCCCTCCTCGACATTCTCAGGCCCCCCCATTAGCAAAGGGCCCCGATTAAGAGAGTAATGCGCTAATCCACTCCATCACCACTAAATTCAGCCCCCACCGGCATGCTCCTTGGAGGACGTGACCCCTTTCGGGTAAATAGGGAGGCTAAGGGTGACCCCAGTATGCTGGAGCCCAGGGGGCAGTTAGCAGGACCATGCTAGGGGAGACTGCAGATACCTCTGATAGACGGCCACGCTCGGGTGCGTCGTGGAGAGGCTTAATTCAATCTGTCTGCCAGCACCGCATGGCTGGGCACTGTACTAATTGGCGGTGTGCCTCTGCGGGCAGGCTCGGGCATGGGGGGCCAGCAGCGACGCAGCACTTTGTACTCCAAATTACAGGTGCTGCATAGTCTGCATATAAGCACTAAAGTTAGCATGAAGATAGATCCATGCGATAGACCCATGCGAATGACCACAGCTGAGCAACAAAACAATATTGCAAATATTTTTGCATGTGTGCGTGAGAGAGGCTGTGAGGCCTACAGTGAGCTCCCTACCAAGAGGGAGGAGCTCAGACTCAGGGGAAAGAATAACAGCAAGGCAGCAGACACACAAACCCACGCAAAATGAGACTGTGCCATCTACACTAGCTACCAAACACTAATCTGGAAGCCGGATCGGAACCAAGGGGACGGAGAGGAGGAACAGAAGGCTGGAGAGACTGAGGGTGGAGGGGAGGTCAGTGGAGGAGAGAAGGAGGAAAAGGAGAGAATGGGTGACAATGGGAGACACAAGGCATTAGCTGGTTTCCTCCAGCAGTCGATCAGGAGCGCTGCTCCCATCCCAGTTGCTGTTTTCACTGCCAGTACCACTGATTAGCCCCGGACCGCCGTCGTCGCTAATCGAAACACAGGAAGCCCTCACCGCGTCGTCGGCAGACGGAGGAGCCCTGTCAGTTGGCGGCCGGGCGGCAGAGGTACACCCTGGGTAGGTCCTCCAGTGCCTTCAGGGGCCTGATTACTTGGCAGCTTCTGGCCTCCCGTCACACCAGGTGCTTTCAGGATTCAGGTTTTCAAGCCAAAGTTTGCCTAATTTGTCGACAAGTGTCCGGATCCCTACGGTGCAATCACTCCCACCTCCTCAGGTGGGTGTGGGAATAACAGGCATCCTTCCCCCGCTGATGTGAGCTGATCGGGCCCCGCTGAAGGACAATCAAACTTTGACTTGACTCATGTGTGCTGTGGCTAATGCTGTGGATAATGCTATGGCTAATTCTGGGGCTAATACTGTGGCTAACCTTATGGCTAATGCTGGGGCTAATGCTGTGGCTAACCTTATGGCTAAT